ATTTACAGGTAGAACATTAGAAGATGCAATCAATAACACCGGAGGTTATGTTGGAGGAGCAATTGGACCTAAACTTAAATCTGTTTTAGAATCAATGGGTTATATGACTGTAGATAATCTAGCTCCAGAAATTCCAACTTTGCCTGATTTACCAATAGTTTTAAAATAAATCCATTGATCGATGACGATTCTTTTGAATATCAGTCGATAAACAATTTTCGTGTATTTTCTGTATTTTCCGAAAATTGAGTAATCGACGCTGAAAGGATGAATGAATGTGTGTTGTCTTCAATCTCTGTTTGCATTGTAGAAAACTTCAAGGTTAATAAGGAAATAGAGGAAATTCTTTGAGCTAAATATCTTTAAGTGGATTTTCTGAAAGCTCTTAATGATTTTGGCAATCATGTGTAAATAAAAAAATTCTCCATTATTTTCGGGTAGTTTAGTTTTTAAATGAGCGAATTTTATTTTCAATTCTTGTAAATTTCAACCCCCCTTTTTTAATAATAAAACGAAGACATTATTAGTTTAAAAATTTAAATACTAAAATTCATATACTGTCTCATTTCCATTTCCGTATACTTTTCGTATACTTTTCCTTATTATTGTAGCAAGTATAGATATTTATTTATCAATGAAACCTATTTATCATAAACTTCAAAATCAATATTATCCATATACTTTGCTTAATAATAAATTATGGCTACCATCGAAGAGGAGAGGTGTTAGAAAAGGAGGAAAGAAGAAATTGGAAGCTAAAGATATGAATTGAAGGAAAGCAGGTACTTGAATTCTTGGATTAAATTTTAAAGCTTTGTATTGATATTAGAACAAGTAAATAAAGCTTTTACAACTCCTTTTAGATATGAACCCTGTATATAGTAGCTAATGCATTGTTGAAAATAACTGTCTATTGAAGAAATATTGACATGGGGAGAGTGAATCGCCAAGGCATTCCTCACTAAATGCAATTAGTAAAATAAAACTTGGAGCATTATAATGATGAATTTTTAATTTATGGTATAAAAGTTTTGATAATTATTGAATAATTGGATTTATCTTGTGATAATAGTGACTCTGTATATCAATAATAGATAATGATAATATGATAATAATATTAATCATTAACGAGGCTATGTTTCACCATAATACTAAAAATATTGGGACAGATCTTGCCGATAAAATGCTGATTCAAAATTCTCCTACATTAACTCATCGGAATTAATTACAATTGAAAAATGCAAATTTTCCACCTAATATATGTTTCAAAATACTAAAAAACAAATTATAAGCAAATGTTCACCCTTATCTGATAGAGAAACACTCGCGTGCTTTATGTACTTTATATAGATACAGGGAAAAAATTGAAAATGAAGATATTTAAAAGTGGCAATTTACGACAATTTTCAAAGCGACCCAGATTTATAAACCATATAATTAATTAATTACTTATTTGCATAATTATAAATTATCGCTTTATCACAATTAATATCGTCAATAGGCTCTTGGAGCAATTCAAATCGATATTTATCATCAATCAAATGGTTTTAATGACTGCTAATAATATCCAATCAGTAAGATTACTTGAATCAATGACTAATAAGAATAGACAATCACATGAAATAAAATAAATCTCTCCAGAAGATTTAAGAGAACAAGCAACAAGATGTGGAAAAGTTTTTACAGAGAAACAATTTGAAGAAGAAATTTTCACTCACACACACATTTAGAAACTTTAAGTAAATTACTCTCATCAAACCATACATACAGTAACGTTTCTTGGTATATCACTTTTGATGTACAGTATATAGAGTAATGGTATTTGATTTGAATATTAATTGGAAACAAAAATTAAAAACGGTTGCGTTGGGCTTGAATTTCTACCACGAATGCCCAATTTATCACATTTTGTGTGATTGATTTTTTATTTTTATTTTTAGATGCAATAATATACATGTATTCTTGCTAGCTAATTGAGAATATTGAAACGGTGAAAATTACAAATTTCTTTAAGTAGAGGAGATTATAATAGGTGTAGATTCATAAATGAACTTACACCTTGAATGGCATCTGAAAAGCTTACAAAATGTGAAACATTCAGGCAAATGGTTATAATTTTAATTTAATCAATCATTTGCCTGATTCATTTTTAATCTGTTAATCTTGGCATGTTTGTTTAGGAACTATCATTTAAACAAATTCAGTATATTCGAAAATATGATAATGATCATGTGAATATCATGCGTGATAAAGATCATTCGGATGATATTCAAAAATGTAATGTCACATTGGGCCAAATTTTATACTAATGTAATGAAATATCGAGTAGTAAAATATCATATAATAAAAATTCGAAATCATGCAATGAAATATGAAACCTTTATTCATTTACGGTTGAATTATTTTTCTCGCGCCATTATCACTCTCAATTTTACCAGTTTTGTCATCTTGCCAACTATTATATATAAAAAGGACTGGCATCTAACAAACACAAAAGTTTCCTTTATTTGATATCAATTTATTATCGTAATACAAACATTGTATTTAGTTTGATACTTACATTACTGACATGATTGTATAAATATATAAATTTAAATCACTTATATTGTTGTGAAATGGATAAATAAATGCAAGAGATCTTTGATTATCAAGAAACGAGTAACTTCTATAAGAAGATTTTGACATCAACCCTAATAAATCTGTTGGTCAAGTCATTACTGATGTGTAATCAGAAACAGACACTGATGTTTCTACTACCTTGTCAAACGAAAAGCACTGTGTAGAAAGTTTTTTATAAACGACCAGCTTACGCACCTGGACATAATGTTTGTAAAACATGTTCAACAAAGTATGAGTTAACAACAAGTGTGTCAACTCTTCGTAAACATCTCAAGTTACATCAATTACATGCACCTCCTAGGAAATAAAGAACCACGACCAGAACGGATCCTTTTAGTCAACCAGCAGGAACAAAATAAAATACTAAATACCTTATTCAATGGTTGATTGGTGACCTCCGGCCCTTTACCATTGTTGAAAACTCTTATTTCAGTGAACTCATCAATTACTTCTGTTCCTGAGCGTTACCAAGTAAAAGATCTTATAATCAGTACATTCAATACTAGAAGAATCAAATTATTAATGATCTTGATCAAATTGAGGGGCGATATTCATCGATAACTAACATGTAGACTTCTATGACTAGGTAGACCTATCTAAGAATTACTATACATTATATAAATTCAAACTGATATTTCTGTAACTTCTTCCTTGATACCATAATATCTTTTAGTATTAGATGAATCCAGATTTCCAATACGATCATACTTCTTTTATATCCCCCTCCGGGATCTGGATTTTTGTGGGATATTAATATTAATATAATTGAGGTGTAATATAGTAAGAGCTCTCATTTTACATGATTTCTAATTTAAAAATTTTTTAGGATTGGCCTTTTGTTTTTATCTACAAAACTACTTGAACGTTTTATTAATTCACCAATAAAGAATTTTTTTGCAGTTTCAAATCCTTTCCTTCCTTCTTCTATAGAAATAACTGATTCTTCTTCACTCATGTCCTCTTCCATTTCAACATGTTCAGGTTGCCAGATGGTTTTATAAAAGAGACATGACTGTAAAATTATTGCACTAACCACAGACAATGAATCTACAATGATTGTTATGTGGAAGAGAAGTTCCAAATGCCCTTAATATTGAACTTTCTTCAATGAATTTTTTACATTATCGTTGTGCAGCACATGCCTTGAATATAGGTGTGAAACAAAGATTACAACTAATTGGTGACTCGGTTGATAAAGGAACTAATGATCAAAATCAAGATTCAACTTTCCTTTGTGATAAACTTTGCATTTTCTGCAATGTAAAAGAAATAATTTATCATAAACCCATTTTGGATGTGGAGGCTCGCTAAAACTTAACATATTACACGTTAAAACGTTTGGAAAAACTTCTGTCAGCGCTGGTCTTACTTGCTACTGATAATGGCGATGTTGGGATCTTTACCCTAAAGAAGATGATTTAACTGTAATTAAGTAGGTTGGATCTTTAAAACTGATCAGGAAATGTTAATAATAAATTTTCAATTCTCTTTCACTTTCTCTATATATAATAATTAATAATTATTTTCAAATTCGACAAAAAAAATTATTTATTCTTTAACTAATTAATAATTTATCATGTTCTATGGGATACTCTCCTGTTTCTTGAACCTTTGGAAAAAGCTACAAAACACCTTTCAGCATCATAATATTTAACCATGAGTGATACCCGTTTTATTTTTGAATGCATCTAGAAGAACAAATAGGAATTACTGTATTTAAACGATTCAGCCAAATATTTCTTGTCATCAAAAGTCTATATTTTTCGTTTTTCTAGCATCATTTTACTTTTTATTGCGGTTTTTTCTGTTGCTGATAACTAATGATAGTGATTCTGTTCTATAAATAAACATTAAATTGTTACACTAATTTTTTATATTGTGCAACGTAGCTTTACAATACACGGCAAACATTCTGGCAATAAAAAGTAAGTGATCTGATCTCCAATTTAAATTGGTAGGAGCAATGGGTTCTGTATAACATTTCGTGTAACAACAAACTTCCACTATGCTACTATGGTTAGTGGAGAATTTATAGATTTACAATTATTGTAAGATTCACGTGGAACTCTAACTTCTGATGAGATAAGCTTGCTACTATTATTATTATCTCCATTCGTAATAATCTTGGGTTAGGGAAATTCTACATTTTACAAACATAATAGTCAATATCTATCTTGCGAAAACTGAGATGAGTTAGTGATCCCGAAAACAAAGACTTCACTAAATGTTTTCTTAAAAAAAATCAAAACTAAACTCAAAAAGAGAGGAACCCTTTTTGAAAACAGAGCTGTCAACTATTAATATGCGCAACCAAGTAAATGAACAAATGAATGAAGGAATGGATGGATTAAGGATGAATTGACGAATGAGAGAATGATAATTTATTCTTGTTTATTTTCATCTTGAGTTCCCCCAAAGAAGTAATATATCTGTACAATGATTTATAACAAGTTTATTTGATGGGGATTACGATTATTAGTATTTTTTGAACCGCTAAAATTATAAATATATTCACTATAATCTTTGATTCAATTAATAATAAATAATAGTAGTAATTGCTTTAATTAGTTTCTTTCTTTCTTTTAAAATTTTTGCTACATGATTAATTTCCAATAATATCATATCGTTATTATTATTATGTATAAGAAAAAAAACGACAAAAAAAATCATATGCTAAAAAAAATTATTATTTTGTTTGTGCTTTTGTTTAGTTTTGAATTTATGTTTATGATTTAACATTTAGTCAAATCTTCTAATAAGCCATTTTTTATATCAAAAACCAATCCATGAACTTGTATTTTATGTTTAGCAAATTTAACAAGATGGTTTTCATTAATTTTCTCCACTTGTCTCACGACATTAGCTTTGACCAATTTATATTGAACTTCATCAGTTCCAAAATGCGGATTAGATTGAGAGAATTCGGGATTTACTGATCCCAATTCATGGATTCCTTTCAACCATTTTATTAGATTAGGTTCAAGATCTTTATTATAACAATTTCTTACTCCAGCACAACCTCTATGGCCTAAAGAGGAAGGGAGAGAGAAAAAAGATATTATTTATTAATCTTTTTCATTAAAAGCAAAATTAAATGTTTTAAATTAAGATTTACCACAAACAACAATGTGACAAACTTCCAAAACTTTGACAGAATATTCTAACACTGACATGCAATTGGTGTCATCGGATTTGAATTGATTTGCTATATTACGATGCACAAATAATTTTCCAAATCCTGACTGAGTGATAAGTTCAGGTGAAACACGAGAATCGGCACATCCTATATAAAAAGAATTGATTACCTTTATTTAATCTTATATAACTATAATGAATGTAAGTACAAAACCAAATTTAAAATTTACCAATCCAAAGAATTTTTGGATCTTGTTCTTTAAGTTTATCAAATAATCCTTTATCATTTTTATTTTTATCTGCTGACCATTTTTTATTATTTTCAAGTAATTCTTTAATTTTATTATCACTTTTATTGTTGTTGTTATTGTTAAAACTAGAAGAGAAGGATAAGTTACGAGTATTATTTTTAATGATGATCCTTGTAGTCGTTATTAAGGAAAGTGAACGAGCATTATTAAAAAAAATGCCTTCGAAAATTGAAAAAAAAAATTTTTAAATTAATTTGTGTATTATATTAATATATTATATATTATTATTACATACTCATATTTAGAGAGTTTTTTACGTTGGCTTTTTATGTAAATCTTGTTTTTTTTTATGGACGGGAAATTAATTATTGATTATTAGATACAGAACATTTATCAGATTGACTGTAAACTTTTTAACTAAATAGTTTAAATTAATAGCCAATTTATGGTTTTTAAAAAGATGATGGATGACTGATAAACAATCCTTTTTTATCGCCAGATTAGATTTGATCTTTTATGTGAAACATTTTTAAATAAATGTCTGGTTTTTTATTTGTATTGTGCATGATTGTTTTTTATTTAAAAAAAAACATTACATTATAATTTTGCTCATTGATATTAACTGAATTTAGTTTTATAATTTTGAGTGACTTGAATGATACATGACGTTTCTAATTGTTGGGTTTTTTGGTTTAACTTTTTTATTGGCGAATTAATTAAATCTAGAGATCTATTTGTCATATTTGTTATACAATATAAGGAATTCATCGTTATCGCTCGCTCAGTTAATCTTCGAATAACATTCAATTTCGGATCTCTCAATAATAATAATAACTTCTTTGGTAATTGTATACTCTTTATTAACGTCATTTTTTAATTTAGTAATTTGTTGCGCTGATTGTTCCAATTCTTTAGCTTTTTCTTGTTATTGTATTTGTCATTCTAAATCACTTGTAGTTTGAAAAAAATTTGGTAGCTTCTCCACAATTAATTCTTCAGAGCTTGTTTCTCAGTAATAGTCCTTGTTGCTTGCTAGTTTAAGAAAACAAGAAATTGAAATAAAAAAAATTTGGATTGGTACATTCAAAAAACTTTTAACTTGTAGGTTTTTTTTTCTACTTCGCAATGTTACACGATTTTAGATTGATTTTTCGATTTGTTACTATTACACCTAAAAGATATTGATTCTGACGAATAAACCAGACAAAGTGAATATACATGAAAAATTGCAGGCGTCCATATTTTAGTAACTAGCATGGCAGACCTAATGATTAACGAGGTTCTACTTTCGTCATTATATACACTTTGATATTTAAAGTTTTGAATTAAGTATTACAAAAAAACAAAAATACTAAGCCAAATTTCCGACTCTCTAAGTTGTGCCAATTTTTTAGTAATTCGTACTTCAGAATAACACGACATGCGCCTCTTTTTCATACTAGTAATCAAACCAGCTTTCGTTAAACGGACACACAACTGTTGGCACAATATTGTGATTAGATTGATGCAAGTATTATTCGGCGATAGATATATACGAGTATATACTTACCACCCACTTTATAACATGTACACAAATTTGGGTATGTCTAGTGATGTTAGCCGGCTAAAAAAAATTCCTCTTGACATTCATTTTTACGTCTGGAATTTTAGTGCAGAATTCAATGGCATAGACATTTAGTTGAAATGGTCCACCTACATTACTTAGAATGACAAAAAAAACATACATTTGTTCAAAAGGCAAAATATAATACATCATAACAGGATAAAAGTCATAGAGTTTCTATTCGTAATACAATTTTTTATTTTAATTCAAATTATTATCATTCATTTTATTCGAATTATTCGTTTTATTGGGAACTATTTGTTTTATTCAAATTATTCGTTCTATTTGAATTACATATTCGTTCTATTCGAATTATTATTACTCGTTCTATTCGAATTATTCGTTTTATTCGTTTTTATTCGTTTATTCGAATAAAACTTTCAATGTAATTTGAATACTCAAATTCATAGTGAATAAAACAAATAATTTGAACCATTAAAGGCGAGATATTATAATAACAATAGTAAATAATAGCAACAATAATAACAATATTAATAGTAATGATGTCGGCAAGCTTAGTACCATCTAAAAAGATTTTTCATCAATTGGGATTTATTAAGTTCTTAGCCGGCCAAGGTTTTTCTATCGGCTAACATCACTACCCGATTCTTCTGTCCAAGTGCTGTAATTCATTATTTCAATTCTTCTTTCTGAAGAACTTTTATTAATGACAGTGTTTTCGCTTGTATCAAAATTGGTTTAAATTTACAACATCTTCAATTCCTAATATATCTAAATTTTCATTTTCATCCAAATAATCCAAATGAGCATATTATCTGATTTATTATCATATGAAATTCATTTTCTTCGGTTCCTATTTCACCTAAATTCATTATAGATAAATGCAATTTAAAGTAGTTTCTCTCTTTCTGCAATATCTTTTCTAAATTCTTTTTTTGCATGAATAACATAAAAAGAATGAATTTTGGCTAAAATTTCAATCATATATGTAGATAACCAGCTCCTTCTTTTCCCATAAAATCATTGTAAAATAGAAAAAATTCGTTCAGCACTAGCTGTATGTGGAGTAACAGAAAATAACTTGATTGCCAATTTTTGTAAGTGATTATAATTGTCTTCACATGTAGACCACCAATTAATTGGGATTATCCAGTCTATATGAACATTTGAAGAATTAGAAGTTGCCAAAGAATTTTGCTTCATCCAAAAAATCGCCATTTTGATATTTACGTAAAACAATTTCAAGATAAATTGGTTTATTTCAATTGGTGCATTTAGATATCTATTTGCTAAATGTTCTTGCATCAACTACGGGCTTCCTTTTATTCCATTATCATTAAATATATACAAGTGGAATCATACTTGCCAGCATATCTTTCTGTACCTTTATTAAAATGTGTCCAAACAATGTCAGGGGATCTTCTAGAACTCTTAGAATTTGACAAATAAAGACTTTGAGAATCAAAATTGCTTGACATAATTTAAAAGCAATATTTTTTTTAATTTCTAGAAAATTTCGAATTCGATTTTGAATTTAATATTAATAATTTCGGATTTCGAAATAACTTTATTTCGCCATCATGTATGATCAGGATCAATGTAAAGGTATTCGATACTAGAAAGTAGAAACGGGTAGTGATGTTAGCCGGCTAAAAACTTGAATAAATCCCAGTTGATGAAAAAGCTTTTCAGATGGTACTAAGCATGCCTGTATTATTATTAATTACTACTACGACTATCGTTCTTATTACTATAATAATAATTATTATGATTTACTATTGTTATTGTAATATCTCGCCTTTAATTTAATGGTTCGAATAAGGTTTATTTGAATTATTTGTTTTATTCGTTATGAATTTGAGTATTTGAATTACATTGAAAGTTTATTCGAATAACGAATGAAACGAATAAAACGAATAAAATGAATAATAATAATTCGAATCAAAATAAGAATTTGTATTACGAATAGAAACTCCAACTATGACTTTTATCCTGTTATGATATATTGTATTTGTTTTTTGAGCAAATGTATGTTTTTTTGTCATTCAAAGTAATGACATCTCAACTAAATCTCTATGCCACTGAATCCTGCACTAAAATTCCAGACGTAAAAATGAATGTTAAAAGAAATTTTTTTTAGCCGACTAAGCCGATAAATTTCTTGGCCGGAAAGGGCGCATCCTTTTGTAAACAAACATCCCAGTCACAAATGACCTTTATCTTGTAGCGTTTCGCTTCTTATGTTATTATTTGACACATACTTCTTCTTAAATTCATAGGTATTGGTTAAATAAACCGCATCGCCTAGGTAATAATAATAATAAGAGAAGTCCTTTTGGTTTTTCCGTTTAAATTTTCTCTTTCTAAAAAAAAAATAATATTAAATCCAAGATATCGTACTTATGTATCAAATTTAATAGAACAACACTTTCCATCTCCATGTGCGATGAAACAATGATTTCTGATAGCAAAATCTGCTGTTGATGATTTAGGAAAAAGAAGCTAGCAAATAAAGGACTCCAGCTACCAACGAATTTTTTTGTAGGTCATGATTATCAAGATGTATCGCAATTCTATGTGGACAGGAGATTCAATCAAAAATTGGCAAAAAGGTTATAGGTAAGAGTCACGACATTCATCTACCAAAAGTGATTTTGACCTTGAAAATTTTCAATGTATTCTTAATTCTGTTAAATTTTTTTAAATTTTCATCATTTCATTAGAATTTTACATGGGGAGTTCTCTAGAAAAAGGCACCTTAAGTTATAAAATTTTTTGAGTAACAATCCCTGCGAAAAAATTTCAAGCTTGCATCTCATTTTTTACTAAATCATCAGGAACTGATTTTTTCATCAGTTATAATCTTTATATATTGTGCAAAAAAACTCAATTTTTGTCAGAGCACACTTAAGGTACCTTTTGTCAGAGGACCCCCGTATTAATTCAGACAAAATAAAATTTTAAATTTAATAAAAATTTTTTTCCACCTCATAAAAAACCACTAAAATAATAAATAAATAAATATATATATGTTTATATTTGGCATAATCTTACTGTGCAAAATACATATGGATAACCCCTTTGATACCAATTTCTAAATGTGCTTCTTGTTAATCGAGGGTGTGTTGCCCTATATTTTTTTTTCAAAAATAATAAAAATAATAAATATAATATACTTCAAATATATATAATATATAGTTCTCCTCACGACTCGCACACGAACCAAGTTCTATATACATAATGTCTCGATCATACCAATATTATTTGATTCACGAGACAAGGCGAGCCAGTTCGTGCAGAGCTCTAATAATATATAATATATAAATGTAAATATATTTATATTGCTTACCATGAGCCACCCAAAACCACAACATGTTTACCATCAAAGAAATCTGCTGAATAACCAGGATAAAGTTTACTTTGTTTAAATCCTGGATACTTATCAAATTCGCTTGATGTCCATTCCCATCCAGATCCCAGCACTTGAATTGTATTACTGTCATTTGGCACGTCAACTGGATGCCAATTCTTGAATCCTATGTTTGATAAGTCCATTAGCAGTGATGACGATTTATATATTTTATAGAATGAATTTAATTCTCCCTCTGTGGGTAATCTCATTTTTTTCCATGCTGCGTATTTACATGCTTGATCTTGGCTCAACATAACTGGCCAATTCAGTGCTACATTCATTTTAACTGCTCCAAAAACTGTTCTAACTTCATATTCGAATGATGGTGGATCAATTGGAATCCACGATCCCGGATATTCTTTGTTAACTGTTGCCCTCATAAATGAGAGATATTCTCCATTAGTCACTGGTCTTGAATGAATTTTAAAAGATTCAATACTGACCTCTCTTCTAGGTGACTCATTATCCCATCCAAATGCATTACTCAAGTTGTACTGTTCATCATCATCATCATCTTTATATTCATCATCATCATGACCTACAGTAATAGTTTGCTTTGGAATCGTTATAAATTTAGCATCCGATGCTGGAACGACTGCTTCTTTCCATTTTGGGATCACAACTCCTTTAGGCTGTAAAGTAAATGGTGATTGTACCAGCATATAAAGAATTGTCTCAAGATGCAAGGCCGTATGTTCAAATGTCATAAATAATATTCTTCCTAAACTCCTTTTCATTGTTTTTTTTTCATATACAGAAATAAGCCTTTCCTTAACTTTATCACAATATTCCATAATTTTATCCAATTCTGGCCACTTATCTGGTGTTATTGAATGTGAATGACATTTACTTGGGTCGTCAATGTCAGGATCAATGCCTCTTTCAAAAATATCTGCAAAATATTCTGGCTCGGTATGTTTTTCTTTATGATATCTGGAAAGGTGAATGTCCAGAAATCCCGGAATATGTCCCAAATAAAATATAAATGGATGCCTAAGATGAATAGGTTTTTCGAGCAGTCTTTTTGGTGAGATCATAGTCATTGTTACTGTGTCCCATGACCTCCATAATTCTTCCCATTCATCTAGCGTCGGAATAGATTCTTGTGATGAGTCACCTCCACCACGACTAAAATAAAATGGCGGTTTACTCAGTAGATGAAGATCATACTGAGATTGAAAATCTGACCAACTTTCAACATGAGAAAGTTTCGCGTTATGAAAAAGTTGGATAAGATTGTTTTTATCATATTTATAAGAATATTCGATATGAATCAATTCATCTTTTTTCAAGTTTATTCCTTTTTCTTCCGCCCCTTCATTTGGAGTATATTTCAGCGTTATATCTTTCTTAGATTTATAATAAGCTTCGTGTCTACCTTCGCTCTCATTATATAATGAATGATATTCAAAATCATCAAGATCAATAAAATTTTCTTGTCCAAGAACAGCATTAACATGGTTTAAGCCATTAAGAATGAATTCTTTGGTATCACCTTTAGGATCATTATAAGCAAGTTCGATTTTATCAGGATCATTTTTTCTGTCAATACCAATTAAAAATAAATCACCCGGATTCATCGATCGATTTTGAAATCTTTGAATAAAATTTGCTCCATCTTCTCTACTAAAGTTTCCTATAGAAGAGCCTAACCATAAAATTGTTTTAGACAATTCACCTAAAGAACTAACAAAATTGATCCCATCTTCATAAGTTCCCGAAAGACCCATAAGTTTAATGTTTTCATATTTTCCAAGTGAATCTAAAAACTTTCCGAGTTGATATTCCACAAGACCAAGAGCATAATAGGTTATATTTTTTTTCTTTTTTTCCAATGAATCAAGAATCAATTTGGTCTTATTTGGTGATCTAATATATTAAAACATTATATTCTTTGATCAGCGCTTGATTCCTAACAAGAAATAGTAAACAAAATATAATTTCATACCCAGGACCAAGTTCAATGATTACACTATTATCTTTAATGTAGTAATCTACAATATAATCTATTTTATTCTTTAATATTTCAACTTCCGCATTTGTTAGATAATATTCTTCGTTGTGGGTGATTTTATCAAATAACTGTAATCCTTTATTATCGTACAATAGAAATGTGGGTATTGTTTTTTGGACATTTTCAGGTTTATTTAAACCATTAATAATTTCATTGATCGGATTAAATTTATGTTCATGAATATCGATAACTTGAAAATTTGCTTTGATAAATTGCAATGATTTCATTTTGATTTTTGATGAAGAATCTTTTTTTTTGAATTCGTTCTTTTTTATAGCTTATAGACGATACCTTAAAAGTCAATTTATTATTTTATTTATTTATTAACAATTTAGGCATATGATTACCGCATTCATCTTTTTTTTTTTGATTATAATAACTTTGGAAAATCGTATGACATCAAATCGTGTTGCACACACTATTATTTTTAATTAATGATCATGTGACAACCCGAATTTCCAGCTTTAACCTACTTCCTCAGGTCCCTGTTCGGCCATGTGATTCATAGGATTGTGTCATTATTCATGTGTCAAACCTTTTAATATAGCTTTTTTCCATATAAAAATCAAATACACTGAAAACCGGTATGATTTGTACATGTGGAAAAATACTGTTCTCTGTATTACAGTGGACGACAGCAAAAGCCATCAAAGTGATACAAGAGGGGCGGCAAAATTTGAGTTTTTAAAATTTATCACGTGTACAAATTTTAGCCAATAAAATTTAAGAAAATTATCATAATACATTAATATATGAAGAAAGTATTCAAACGCAGTTTTTCGAAAATTCCACAAAACCTTTATAATAACTATATGAAATTTATATTATTTGATAGCTCAGGTTCTTATAATTATGCATATAAATTTAATGTTTTTGTATTATCTAGATAGAGCTTTAATTCAAAGATTTGCTGATTGCAGTTTGAATCAACGACGGGCTTCATTAGCTTTTTGTAAGTTTGAAAGAAGTGATTTTTTTTTGTGCGACTTGGCATTTCAAACAGCGGCAAATTTTGAAAATTATATATAAAGTAATGAAATTTTAAACCCTTATAATTTTTGTTATTAAGTTTAAAATAAAAAATCTGGTTGCAACGAATTATTCCCTGCAGGGTGCGAAATGTGAGATCAAAAATATCGGGGGAAATATTTACCGAAATCTTCAAAAAATATCGGCCAAAAAAATTCTTTACCAAAGTAAGCAAGCTTTTACTTTAAATGAAAGAAAAAAATAAAAATAATTGGGGCTTCAGTAAAGAAAAGAATGATGATCTTTTTAATAATCAAAATTTACTGAAGAAGATTGGCAAGTTATTTATTATTGGTCATATCTGTAGTCTTTTCTCTGCTATGTAAAATTAATCATTTAATTAATTTTTTAATTTGTAGTTATATAAACACTGATTCTGATTCTGTTGTTGTTGATGATGATGGCACTTTTAATCAAGAAACAAATAATATTCCATCAAAAAGTTCTAAAAGGTCATTTAACTGCCTGTGGTTAAAAAAATTTCCTTGGTTAATTTTTAATAAAAATGAAGAAAAAATGCATTGTCATTTATGCCAGAACCATAATAAAAAAAAAATTTGGACAAGAAGGTAAATATTATTATTATAAAAAAAAAATTTTATTTTTATTAAAGATAATTATTACAACTTAGGTTCCAGAAATTTTACAAAAAGTTCAGCTTTACTTGATCATGCAAATTTATACAATCACAAAGATGCAATTAAACTTAAGAATGATAGTTTAATAATGAAGGAATGTCAGAAAAAAGCATCTGATAATTCTACTAATCATATTATATCACTTATGAAGATTATATATTTTATGGCAAAAAAAAAATCATTCCATGAAAAATTTTCACGATTTTGTTGATTTGGCCTATGAATTAAATGTGCCTGATTTACAAAAAGGATCTATTGCTTATAATAATGAAAAATCAGGAAAGGAATTACTTGAAGCTGTTTCTAAAACAATTGAGTATGATATTTGGGAAGAGATATCTAAATCTCCTTGTATTGGTGTAATTATTGATGAGAGTAATAATATTTCAACAACAAAAAATTTAATTGTTATATTTATCAAGGTATTATTAAAACTAGATTTCTCAAAATATGTTCACTTTTGAATGGTGATGCAACATCAATTACAAACATTTTAGTTGATTTATTCAGAAAAAAAGGTTGGAATTTCTTTAAGCTTTAAATGCTTTAATTTAAAGTGGTATAATAACAAATATTAATCATGTATTAGAAAAGATTACATCATTTGCATCTGATGGGGCTTCTGTCATGTTGGGGGTGAGGAATGGAGTAGCTAAACAACTCACAAGTTATTGTCCTTATATGGTAGTAACACATTGTGTTGCACATTATTTGGCTTTAGCATGTAAGAGTTCATCAAAACAAGTTGATTATTTTAAAAAAGCAGAAACATTGGCAAAGGGTTTATACTCTTTTTTTTAAAAAATTCTAGTAAAAGACTAAATTCATTAAAAAGAATTTCAAGAAATTTTAGATAATGATATTCTCAAAATTAAAAAGATCTTTGACATAAGGTGGTTAAGTTGGTATGAAGCTGTTAGAAATATTTGCAAGTCATTAGAAGCTTTAATTTTGACATTATCAAATGATGTTTCAGAAGTTTCAAAACCTCTTCTAAGTCAACTATTAGAATACAAAATGTTAACATTTTTTCATTTTTTGTATGATGTTCATGAACATTATCTCAATTCAGCAAATTTTTCCAAAAAAAATCATTACATTTTTCAGAATATAGAAATAATCATTAATACAATTATTAATAAATTAAGATTTGAATATCTTCCTGATAATAATGGTAATATTAAATTTGGATTTCACCTCAGGAAATTTTTTAACAATCTTAGATTTATTAGTGAAACTAGAGTTGATTTTGGGGAATTTCAATTAAATTATTCTTACAATGATCATCAAGAATTATTAGTAGATATTCAAACATACACAAGAAGTTTAATTAGTTGCATAGAAGAGAAGTTTCCAAATAAACCTTTGATAACTGTCATGAAAATTTTTAATCCAAAAGAATGGCCCCTTAATATAGTCAACTTTCAAGAATTTGGAATCAATGAATTAAATTTATTGTTAGATCAATTTGGCATGGAAAAAAATATCAAGCAAAAGGATAATTCTTATAAAAAATTTGAACCATTAGTAGATAAAGAATCTTGTATTTATGAATGGTATTCATTTACAAATATTATCAACAAATATTAGTATGAAAATTTTATTACCTCATTTATATGAGGAATATTTTGATTTTTTCCCAAATATTATTAAATTAATTTCAATTGCATATACAATACCTGTATCTAGTATAAAGTGTGAACATGGTTTTTCAAAACAAAATTTGATCAAAACTAAATGTAGAAATTTATTAACTGCATCTTCATTATATTTATGGATGAGAGTTGGTTTGGAAGGCCCAGATAGCAAAGTTTTTGATTTTCAAAAGGCATGGTTAATTTGGAAGAATGAAAAGAAGAGAGATTTAGAGAAAATTTCTATTTAGATTTATATATATATACACTCACTGGTCATAAGTATAAGGACACTTGCAGATCATCGGAAATAATTGAATAAAGAAACATGAAAAAAAA